AAAAAAAAAAAAAAAAAAAAAAACTAGAGCACTATTTTCACCCTCAGGACTGCTGACATTTAGGCTGGATAAATCTTTGTTGTAGGGGGCTATCCTGTGCATTGTGTGATGTTTAGCAGCATCCCTGGCCCCTACATACTGGATGCCAATAACAATCACCCAAGACATGACAACAAAAATGTCTTCAGGCATTGCCAAAAGTCCCCTGGGTGGGGAGGGGCCCAAAATTGCCCCTGGCTGAGAACCACTAAGCAAGAGAATAAAAACGCATTTCTTAACTAAATCAGTTAGTCAGGAAATGGATGAACAGGTGTAGGTTAAATATCTTAATTGTAAGAATAAAAGCTAGTACAGAAAACAACAAAAAAAAATTTAATACATGTTTACATTAGAACACCTTCGATGTATTTCATGGTAGCTTGATTACGGGGATTGTTATCCAGTAAGTTGGAAATTTCAGTTGCATATTCCAAAATGTGGTTTTCTTTCAAGTATTCTTCAGATGCTGACTTTGCCAGGTTGTTCAAAACTCTGACTGCAGGGAATAAATTGGCAAAGAATATGATGCTTAAGGGTTTTTTTCTTCCACAAAAGAATTAAGATGTCAATAGGCATGGCACTTAATATCATTTCATCAGTGGCAATAGGCAGGTTTTTCTTAATAAATCCACTACTGACATATATATACTGCATGGACATTGGTTTTCATGCAACATGTTTGTGTCTGCACAGCAGTTTTAGAGCCAAGGAGCCAAGACAATAGATTGAAACCAAATTCTGAGTTTGTTTGCAAATGAACAGATCAGAAATAGAGTGAAAATATGGATACAATGAAGCCAGTTATCACCAAGGTAACTGAGCCCTACAAAAGGCAGCCAGTACAGCCCTGCAACAAGACACAATAGAACTATACAGCCTTGGCCGGGCGCGGTGGCTCAAGCCTGTAATCCCAGCACTTTGGGAGGCCGAGACGGGCGGATCACGAGGTCAGGAGATCGAGACCATCC